CCAGCATGCAAATCAAAGGGACTTAAAGAAGGTGGCAGCCACCATCTGCCTTGGTGTTCATTGGTGTTTTGCAGCCTCCAGGTAAAGAACAGTTCATTTTAAGTCACAATGCTGTAAATGCAAAGAGTTATTTCACAAAAACCCGAGTTAGTCCTTCTTATTGGGGTCCTAGAGCTAGACCTCAATACAAAATATTTAGTGAATGAGCTGGATTCCCCAAGAGCTTCTCAGTTCTCCAGCAGCCCTTCTGAATGTAGATGCCCGAGTCCACCAGCAGCTGCTGGTACCTCCCTGCCAGCAGTGACTCCTTCCTGCCCCAGATTCACTGAGAAAACAGCTTTATTCCTCAGCATAAAACCCTAAGGACAGAGGTCCTCTGTTCATCCTTGGGGACCATTTGCAGAAGTTCATCCCCTTCAGTTACACTGCTCCAAAGTCTGCTTCAAAATATCTCGTTTTTCTACAGCTCATCATCTTTCACGGGCAGAACGAAGCCACTTCTCAGCTTTCTGGCAATGGGACAAGCTTGCCGGGTCCCTGCTCATAAATCCAGAGGTCCCTTCAGGTGACTTCCCTCTGTTCTTACCAAATGAAGCCCAGCTTCTGGTTAATGCACTTGGGCAAAAGCCCACGTGACATTTGGCACATCGGAGAGGTCCAAGCAACAAATCAGGACCCGATTCAGCCAAGTGCCACTACCTGGAGTGGCCGGGAACACGCTGTGCATTTCTCACTTCTGTAACAGGGACAGCAGGACTTGCTCCGTCATCTCCACATCCGTGAACATCCAGAAAATTAAAGCTTAGATACAGCCAGCAAGTGGAAAGGAGCCCCAGTTTAGCTTCGTTATGATTGTTTTTTGTCTTTCTCCTGTCTTTAATTTCCTAAAATAGAGCTGAAAGAGACCCCAAGAAGACATCCAGGCCACCCTGTGCAGGAGGAGCTAGACCCAAAATTGTCCCCAAAAGGTGCTATTCTAATCTCAGTGTGTTCCAGTGCAGTTTTTCCTGACATAAATCTCTCTTGATGCAATGCAAGCACATTATTCCTTGTCCGGCTCCAGACAGCAGGATAACAAGTCACTATCCTCCCCTTTGCAGCATTTTAACGTGTTTGAATACGATTATAATGTCTGCTCTTCTCCCTTCTAGACTAAACAGACCCGTTCTTTCAGTATGTCCTCACAGGTAATGACCGCTCACGTTCCTCTCCTCTGGACTTTCTCCTCGTTGTTCCACATCTTTCTTAGAGGGGAGTAACTAAAGTTTGACGCCCTAACCCAAACTAAACATTATCAGTGCTGAGCTCCCAGGAAAGAACATTTCACGTACACTGGGATTTAGATCTTAGCCTCAAGTTACTGTAGTTTGATCAGGGACGGTTCCCCACCTCATCACGGTGACTGTGCATGAGACACAAGCAGCAAATTCAAGTCCGTTCAGCTTTGCAGTGAGGACTCTACCATTGATGAGACGGCTACACGTAAAGACTAGACCCTAATCAAAGAGTTTTAAGATACACCCTGCATTAGCTTGCATTTACAGTGGGCTACAGAGAGCTGACATGGTAACATGACTCTAAACCTTTCTGCAGAATGCTCTTGCTTATGAAACCCAATAAAGTGCTTGATTTTGTCTCATCAGCATCCTTGAGACCCCTCAGGCTGTAATCCATGATAATCCCTACATAATTTTAAGCAGAATTGCTGCATAGCCAGCAAACTCCCAGCCCGTGCTTGTGCAGCTGATTATTGCTACTTCAGTACAATTAATTATATGTCTATATTTAATTGCTTTTTCTTTTTTTCTTTCCAGACTACTTCACCAAAGGGTCAAGAAAGCATTGAATTCTAATCCTGAAGAGACTTGCTGGGTATGAAGGGCAAATGGACGGCTGAACTGGAAGTAACGACTGTTGGACTGGACTCCCGCTCAAATGTGAATTAATTCTGGGAACTGCCATGGCTTGAATTACACAGAGGTTCAAACTAGATGATCACGACGGTCCCTCCTGGCTCTGTAATCTACGCACATCCTTTCTGGTTTAGAGATATTGTAAAGGATCTTTTTAGCGAGTTCATTTTAAGGGGCTACCTGAAAAGACCCTACTGATACTTTAATAAAGCTCATCAGGACTCTACGCTGTTTCCGTATCACGAAAGGGGCTCTCCATACCACGGGGCACATCAGATGTCCCCACAAAGTAGCACACTCCAGGCTTGCCCGTTTGTGATTTCCTGCTTTTGACCTAATATTAAGAATGGAGCACAGGTAACAGAGGCCTCTCTCAACGGGTGCAAACCCCGGGGGAATCTCAGAGCTCAGCTCGTATTTTCGAGCTCTGGAACATACCCATGTTATTAACCAATTTGACATTATGTCTTTCCCTTCACAGTATCCAAACAGTATTGTCAGAAATTCACCTATATAAACCCAAATATAGTCACAGTCACATATACATGAGTGCGAGCAGTCCGTACACACAGAGTGGATTCTTTGTTGCTAGAGCTGCTCCAAGAAGAGGCAATGCTAAACTCCCCTTGTAAATTGCCCACTCAGTTTTGCTGCCAAAAAATCAACTAATTTTGCTGCATTCAATCAAGTAACTCGCTCCTTCAAAGCACAGACATGGTTTAACCCCATTCACAGGGAGCCCCTCAAAGCCAGCCCTATTCGAACAACCATCCACGCTGACTCCGAGTGGCACCCGCTGGTGGCACGACTGGAATTCCTCCACGCGTGGGGATTTCTCCACCTTGTCTCTGCATCCCCAGGCCTCTCCCAAGCCCCCAGTCCCTGCTGTGTCTGCCTGTGCCACGGGGCAGCCTTTAAACCACAGCCCAGAACGCTGAAGTGTTTGTGCTCTTTCCAAGCCCAAGGCTGCCCTTGTTCTAACGCGGCCTTCAAAACGGGATAGCTGAGAATATTAAATCATTTTATCTATTCCTTAAGTTGACAGTTATTTGAGAGTTTATGCAATTTTTCCTGTAGTGCAGTCCTGCTGTTCCCACTTGCAGAAATGTTCAGCAATAGGAGCTATTCTCCTATTCGCAAATTGTTTTTTTCCTACTGATTAAATGGGCAATACTTGGGATGAAGCAAGGAGCTTTTCTCAAGGCATAAAAACACAACGAGCTTCCCGACCTGGCTGCATCTTTCCAAAATGAATTTTATGAGAGAAAATTCATGCAGAAACATGGATTTTCAGGCAATAGGCAACACATCCCGTATTTGCACAGGCCTGGACATGCTGTTTGTGCACATTGTCTCGGGGCCATGGGAAACCTCCCAAGGGCTCCCCAGGGCTTCCTCTTCGTGCCACCGTGTCCGTAAGAGGCAGTTTGGCAGAGATGGTATTTGGAAAATAAAAGGATTTTTTTCCACGATGCTTTTCGTGCCTTCCTCCCCCGGACACCTGACGAGGGTGGTATCTTTAGCTTTATAAATGACCTGTCCTCATACGCACCTGGGTCACGGCTCAGACACTGGAACCAGATTCCCACGAGGCCACGGTCCAGGCCCCGCTTTGGAGCCCCATTTTCCACACGTGCGGCCGGGCCGCCTCACGCCCGGCCTACGGGCCACAGGGACAGCACCTGCTCCGGCACCGTCCCGACCATCCCCAGCTGCTCCAAGACGCCCCATGGCCAGAGGGACACGGTGGCACAGGGAATTGTGCCAGT